CAATATTCACATTATATCATACTAGGACAAAATCGGTCAGTGACTGAAGCAGGACCTTCCACCTTTCTGGCTTTTAACCCACACAAGTGTGCAACACGTGGAAGAAAAAAACACAAAAAACAGAGCAGACAGAGAGAGGGTCTATGTCAAAATGGCCATGCTCTGACACGGATCCAGCAGAAGTCAAAGTACAAGTGAGCAGGAGAAAAATGACTTCCCCTGGTTTTATTAACACTGAGTAAACATTTAGTAAGACCTGGGCAGGTTCCTCCAGCAATTAACAACCAGAGCAGTGGCTCCTCTATCCTGACTGTTGCTCTCGCGTGTCCCTCAGAACACTCTACCAGAACCACACCCCAGCCGCGCCACCAGTCAGAGTGGAAGGAAATTCAGCCATCTGATGCTTCCCGGACTATATCGTGCACAAGTTGAAACCGTCTTTCCAACTGTCAACAGGGGTCTCTTGAGACTGCCTGTCATTAGGAGACGTTTACCTTTGTCAGCATCAAACACAGCTGTTCTCAAATAAGCCTCACAAGAGCAACAATTTCTGCTTCATTTGAGTCTTTTTTTTTCTCTTTCTTTAGGTAACATTTTCATGCTTTTCAAAATGATCTCGTCCCTTGCAGCCGATAAGCAACTACGCATCCCCATGTCCGAACTTTGTCGCTGCCGGCTCGAATCGTCAAAGAGAAATACAGAGCCACTGGCGACAGAAGAGTGGGGCTGATCTCAGTTTGTAGCACACTGCAGAGTCAAGTGCGCTCATCCTATTAATGCAGCGTCCCAGATGGCCTTTGCAAGAAAACGGCATTAGTAGCATCACCAAGACCACGAGAACGAAACACAGGAGACGAGAGTAGAGTGAGAGAGAATCAAACCAAAAGCAAAATTCCACACGCTGGCGCTGCATATGTGACGAACCCAGAAGCTGATTACTCATTGCCCCCTTTAAAAAAACAACACACAAAAAAAACAACAAAAAAACAGAAAAAACACCTATCAAGTGCAGCGTGGAATGGGAAAATTTCATCGTTTCAAATTTCACTCTCACGGGTTATCAGAGCTGGCGAGATCTCAATTTACAATCTATAGGTCAAACCTTGGAAAGTGCCAGAGTCCTACTACAAGCCCGCCGCTTATCTTCCTGGCACACGGCCTGTATCTCTCCTGCCCTTGCTCCACAAACCGAGCGGCCAGCTTGGAAATGCTTTTCATAACGTCCAGTACTAGAATCACACAGACAGTACAGAGCAGGTCACTTATCCAAGTTCCAAAAAAAGGGCTTAGCAGGTGAGCCGGGGTGAAAATCCAGAGCGCCTGCCAGTTTGACCCCAGAGCCTGGGGTGAGTCTGTCGGGTTAATATGCGGAGCCACAATACACCTTCCTGGCATCCTGGTTCCTGGCAGTGGTCCATCAAGGACACATCCCCCTTCCCAAAACACATCTGACGAACACAACAGGACCTTAGCTGTCGACGGCTGTGACCACACGTGTGTAATTATCTCTGTGGTAGTTCTTTAAAATCTTCAAGAAACTCAAACAACATTCTCATTATTCAACACCGCCGTACATTGACTTCCACGGTGCACATAGTCACCCTACAGCTCCTATATAATCAGTGCGACTGACAGGTTCATTTAATTAGCTGTTAGACATCAAAATTATATTCTCCTGAAGATTCGAATGCTCATCCAAGAACCACCGGCCTGTTTTGATACTACTTCTCATGGTCGAGATTTTGCGCGTTGTTTCTTTTCCCAGAAACTAGCCCATAAAATCTATCCCTATTGAATCGCAACATGTTAATATCAGGACCTCATTTTCACCCTCCTCACTCTACGTTTCACCTCTAATCAGAACAAACCCAAACCACTACTTTACTTGCTGCAGTATTATAACACACTTGGATGCTTAATCCATCCAGTAACCATGTGTCCCCCCAAATCCAACCCACGGAAGTCTTCAGGATTGATAATTTAAAGAAAAAACTCGTGGCTGACCTCCAAACATCAGCACACCAACAAATAGAAAACTGGTCATTACTTCGTTGGAATCAAGTAAAGAAAAATATCAAAATTAGCCCCAACAAAAACAACTATTCCTTTAAATAAATCTTAGAAACTCAATGATCTGACAGAAGGCCAAACATATTCCAGGCGATGCTATTTAAACTTTCAAACACCTGACATGCATCGTCGCCGCTGGATTCCCTGGAGAAGCCCCGCTGACCTAGAGTTAAGCCATCCAGCTGACTGTGCAGAACTAAAATCTCATGCTTTCGCATTAATGCCTCAAAGCATCATGCTCACTGTCCAGCAGGCCGCTTGAGAGGAGGGACAAAACACCGATCTGTCGGCCTGTGTGAGAATTCCAGATGTGGCCTGGCTGCACATTGTATTGAGCTTATAACGCTGCAGCCGGGTGGTTCAGAGAGCGAATTCCCACAGATTATCTACCTGCGATGAATTTTCCACCTTCCCTCTTTTCTCTCCCAGGCTTCCTGCTTCTTCTCTCTCTCGCTCAGATCTCGAAGGAAGCGACTTCTATTCAATACATGGCATAATGGACGGTGCTACATGATTTGTCTTCTCCTCATATTACAGCTGGTGGCTTTAAACATACACCAACTACAGTGTTGAGGCTAATAAAAACCAAGTTCAGGCCCGACGCAAAACACAAGCAGCGGAAACTTTCACAGTTAAGACCTGCGAGCCACAATACACATGATTTTAAAACTCTCATTAATGTTATTTGATTCTCGGTCAGAGTATGTAAAACGTCCCTGGCCTCAGTAGGATGAGTATACCACAACAGTGCCGCGCAGTCTGACCACGGACGCACATCATATATCTATTCATTACTAACGTCACTACCTTGTGGTACTGCCCACAGCCACCTAGATGCCGCCAAACAAACGCATGACCGGTAGATGGCCAGACCATCTCGACTTGTACCATACTCGTCCCGCACGCTCACACATAGTTTGATTACTATAGCGCTGCGTAATTGATTGTTACAATATTGCATTGCGCCTTCACTCGTTCGAGAATGCCGCACTGTCTACAGGAAATTACCCTAGTAAGCCAACCCGGGTATTACTTTACTGACACAAAGAATCAATACACTTAGATTGAGAGCTTTAATCATGTGGTATGGGCTCCATGCATAAACCGTGTCTGAAACGTGTCGCTGCCTGTTTCGTCCGAGCCTGAACCTGTTTTATAGCCTCACACCCTAGATGTGTTGTATGAGTCTAACACACCACCAGCTCGTACCTATCAGAGAGAAAAACGATCTACACATCATGTAGCACTCTACCATACTGCATTATATTGAATAGAGCAGTCCACGTTCCTCAGCCAGTCGACAGCCAGAGCAAGAAGAAGAGGAACTGAGAGAAAAGAGAAGGCTGGAATATCATCCAAGTACTATAACTCTGATCTACACTCTCTGAGAACCGCCTGCCCATGCGTTAATCAATAAAATCCAGCCGGGCCAAATAGCTCCCTGGAAAATCATCTACGGCGAGCAAGTCGACACAGCCAACTCAGGCGTGTTCCGCCTCACCCTCTCGACAGGACGCATCTGACAGATAGACATCGATGGCATTTTTAGCATTAATTGCGAAAGATGGACGAATTTATCTCGTCCAAGTCAGCTGATGCTTACATCTAGTCCAGCGCGCGGCTTCTCAGGAATCCAGGGCACGCATTGATGTCAGCGATGTTTTTGAAGACCTAGATAGCCATATCCCATGGGATATGTTTGCACTTCTGTCACAGGTCATGAGTTTCTAAGATTTATTGTAAAGGAATAGTTTCCTGTTATTCTTTGGGGGCTGAATTTGCATACTTTCTTCCTTACTTACGTTGCATAGTTCTATATCTATAAGTAGATGTACAGTATTTCACTAATTTTGTATGCATGTCTGACGCGAGTGCGTCTCCCAAAAGCCCAGATTTACTTTAAATATAATCACTGCAAGCGACTTTATTCACCGTGGGAGATTTCTGAAGACACATGCCCGGTTACCTGAATGATAAACCATCAACTGTGTTTAATAATACCTGGCAAAAAGCAATTGAGACGAAATGTTTCCGGTTATGTTCTTGATCTACGACGTGAAACGAGACTCGCGACAGGGGTATAGGAATATCTGACAAGTGCTGCATCTTCATAACCAATTTTCTCCAGCTAGATCTTAAATCGGGCATATTTCTGGTATTACAACGACAGAAAAACGCCAAAAATCGGGCCACACCATCCAAATAGTTATCAAAACGGCGGTCTGATTGCCAATTAAAAATCTTCAGGAATGATCATATTTCAATCTGCAACCATGATCTAAACATTAACTGAAATTCCTCAGTCACACTTTATCTAAGAGACCTGCACCGTGACGTCCACCCGACCCGACGTTCAATTTACGCGTTTGTGACAATTCCCTGGTTTTGAGATCTTCCATGAAGATTTTTCACGAACGACAACAATAATTACACACGTGTGTGCACACCAGTTCAGAAACACGCTAGTCCACATGCATGTGTTCGTCAGATCTGTTTTTGGGAGGGGATGTGTCCTTGATGGACCACCAGACCTCAGGGACAGCGTGCTACATCTTAACCCCCGACCATGGGACTGCGACCCAGCTTGGAGTCTCAGACCTAGCAGCGCACACTGGCATTTTCACCCCCCGGCTCCACATGCCTAAGGCCTCTATTTGCGCAGACTCTGATAACTGACCTGTCTGTCTGCTCTGTGTGATTCAGCTCGGACCGTCTACCTAAAGCATTTCCACCGCTGCTCCGCTCGGTGTTTGTGCGAGCAAGGCAGTAGATACAGCCCACGTTGCCAGCGAAGATAAGCCAGGAGCGAGGGCCATTGGCGCGCTGTACGTAGCACCTTGGCACTCCATTTTGGACCTAGATTGTTAAATTGGCACATCTCGCCAGCTCTCCGATAACCCGTGCGCAGGAGTTGACACAAATCCTTGAACGGGAAATTATCCCCACTTACGAGCAAGCTTTGCCCTCCTCCACACACACGAGACACCTGTTTCCTGTGTTACTTTTTGTTGTTTTTTGCCCGTTGCTTTTTTCTAACAGGCGACAGCAGACTCTATCTCACACTCGACCCACGCCCTTGGTGAATTTGCTTTTGGTTTCATTCTCTCTCTCTTCCTACTCCTCTCTGTGTTATCTTCTTCTTCTTGGTTCCTTGTGATTAGCCCTAACAACGATGAGCTTTCTCTGCACAGAAGCCCCCACTGGGGCACGGCTGCACTTATAGACTGAGCCGCAAACTCGAACTCTTGCACGTTCGGTCAAAAACTGCGCAGAGCAACCCCACTGCCGTTCGGTTGCGCCTCCTGTATTTCTCTGTCTTGACATCAAGCCCACAACAAAATACCAGCGCGCGCTTATTTATCGCCTGCCAGGGAATACGAGATCATTTGAAAACCATGAAAAATGTACCTAAAAAAAAAAACAAGATCCAAATGAACAGAAATCGCTGCTCTGTAGGCTTACTTGCAGGCGAGCACAGCTCGTGTTTTGATCTACAAAGTACAGCTCCCTAATGCACAAGGCCAGTCTCAAAGGGGCGGGGGGGGGGGGGGGGCGGGGGGGGGGGGGGGGGGGTGCGGGGGGGGGGGGGCGGCGCCCGGGGGGGCGCGGGGGGCGGGTGCCGGGCGGGGGGGGGGGGGGGGGGGGAGGTGGGGGGGGTGCGGAGGGGGACGGGAGTGGGGGGGGGGGGGGAAGGGGGGGGGGTGGGGGCCCGGTAGGGGGGGGGGGGGGGGGGGGGGACCGGGGGGGCGGGGGGGGGGGGGGGGGGGGGGGGGGGGGGGTGGGGGGGTGGGGGGGGGGGGGGGTGGAGCGGGGGGGGGGCCGGAGGGGGGGGGGGAGGGGGGGCCGGGGGGCGGGGGGGGGAGCGGGGCGGGGGGCGGCTGGGGGCGAGGGGGCCGGGGGGGGGGTGAAGGGGGGATGGGGGCGACGACCCTCCGTGACCATAAACCCCGGCTTTCACTTGGTGCAAACAATCAGACGGCGATACATTCAGCCATGCGTCTCAGTGTCCATTATCTACCTTCCACTTCCCTGTTCGGCGTCATGGGGTCGTGGTTTCTGTAGGCTGAGGGACGAGAGCAACAGTCAGGACGGAGGAGCACTGCCTCTGGTTGTATCGCCTGCTGAACCTGCCCCAGGTCTTACTAAATGGTTTACCTCAGTGTAAAATAAAAACCAGGGTAGTCATTTTCTCCTGCTCACTTGTACTTTGACTTCTGCTCTGATCCGTCTCAGACATGGCCATTTTGACATTATGCCCTCTCCTCTGTCTCTCTGTTTTTTGTTTTGCTTCTTTCTCCCCTTTGCCCCATCACCTCAAGTTGTTAAAACCAAGGTAAGATCTGCTTCGTCAATTGACCCCATTTTTCCTTATAATATTAAATTGATAGATTTGTTCGAAACTCCCTTCACAGCAAAACCCCCCCCCACCTACCCCCCACCCCCACCCCCCTATACATGTGATTATCGTTGTCACTTCCCATGTTATTTCCCCATTAACTGACTTGTAGTCCTTTTTATAGTTGAGAACACGCAGTCAAAGGATCTGTAACACGCTCCCTGTCAGTTTCCCGACCGTGTACATGTTGTCATTTAATTTACGTGTCATGTCCTTGTCCATAACGGTTCTGTAGTTAATTTAAAATCTTTATAGGCTTCCCAGACGGCTCATATATATATATATATATATTTATTTTTATACTGTAAAATATGCTGGAATTTGTAACACTGAAAATCCAGATTCCTGTCAAAAAACATATTGAAACAAGCCAGAGGTTTCTAACCTGTAATCAGCATTAAACACAAGCTGGGGATTACATAACCCATCAAGTATTACCTACTGAAATATACATCTCTGCTGTTGAGGAGGTGTCATCTGGGAAGCCTGTAACATTTTGATTTTAGTCACATAAGTGGTGTCTGAAGTAATTTGTTAAGTAAGGATCTTCACCCCAACCACAGCAACATGGAAACAATCAGACGATCAGAGGAGGGACCCTATCGAGGACCAATCCGCCGACGCAGAAGCCGCCGAGCCCTCCCATGTCAGGGCGCGGCACGCTCGGGTAAGATTTCTATTTTGGTCGCCATGAAAAGGAAAAACTAATCCTCTAATTATCAAGCAGTGAGTGGAGAAAAAAAAAAAAATACAAAAAACATGAGGCTCATGTGAGGGCGATTAAACAGCATGCATGTCGTATTTATTTATTTATTTATTTGGCATTTGTGCTTTTTTAAAAAAAAAATTTTACTGAATAAATTTGAGGTGAAGAGGAACATGAAATGACAAAGGGAGGAAACACGGCCCTGTGAGCATGAAGCTGCCGCAGGTCATTATTTTTTAACTCAGGTGTGGTCGTGATGGTTGTGTCTTCGTGGGTTTGTCTCATATACACATTGGGAAACACAAAACTGTTGCAAGAGAAAAGGGGATCAAGGGGAAAGAGGAGTCTGGGAACTCACCTGGACTGTTGTCTGTTGATGTGAGACAGGTGTCATGTCCTGATGAAGCCGGTCGTCATGTGACGCACAGCAGCAGTCGGCGACACTCGTCAGATATTAATTCCTAGAGTAAACCGATCCAGCCGGTGGCTCGCAGCATCCGGCTGATAGGATTTACGACGCTCTAGTGACTGTGCCTCGTGGTTTTGATGGTAGGATTTGCACTGAATTATAATAATATTTGTCTTTGGTTCATCATTATTTGCTTCTTTTTTTTTTTTTTTCGTCTCCCATCTTCGCGGCGGCTGCAGACGCAACACGCCCTACAAGACCCTGGAGCCGGTGAAGCCGCCCACGGTGCCCAACGACTACATGACCAGCCCCGCCCGTCTGGGCAGCCAGCACGGCCAGCAGCACAGCCCCGGACGCACGGCGTCGCTCAACCAGAGGCAACGCACACACAGGTAGTTGTTGAGAGAAGAGGGGAAACACACGCACACACACACACACACATTTCTCTCCGTTTTACATGATGGACCGTTAAACAGTGTTCAGATAAACCACAGCACTGTGTGAAGAAACAGGCGCCTCATTCATTTTAATGAGATCAATGCAGCGTCGCCGCAGAGGGCAAAGAAACACACGGGGTCATCGGGCAAAAAAGGTGAATCTGGCTCAACTTTTGCCTTAAAAATCAACGACACGACGTCAAACCAGCCAGACACTGCACTGGCCGATCAAATCCTCGGAGGACCACACACCTGTAGTGTCCCGGCCTTAAATGATTGTGGAAACTTACCAGAAACTCAATTGTGAAATGATTTTTGCATTTGAAGGCTTATCAAACACGTTGATCTCAAACCGGTCCTCCTGGATTGTGTTTCACTGTCATGTAAGAAGAGAAGCAGAGTACAGGTTTCTCTGCATGCTGTCGGTGCAGCAGGTACAGAAGAGACAGGAGAAGCAATGTGGAGAATAAAAATGAAATAAAGGACTTTGTGTGTGAGCAGATTATAGCATATACAAGAAACTTTAAAGGTGCTATACGTAAGTTTTCCCTGCAGGCTGTTCATGCTAACGCTGGCTTTGTAGCAATAGCAAAAACTTACATATAACTCCTTCTTAAGTTAAGTGAGGTGAAGAGTTTCCAGCACAGTAGCATCAGTATAATGATGTAAATAGTGAGCAGGCAACATGGAGTCGGTGCCAGTTTTCATAATATCAACCTGATGAAAGTCAAACACTGTTGCCCCCCCGCTGATACAGTGAAGTTTGAGATACAGTTCTGCAGAGCTAATTTTATAGATAAAAGTCTGTAAAAAAAAATCTGCAGTGCAGATGTTAATGAACACAGCTTTTAATGGAATATAATAGTCAGATAGTTATTTAGATAGTCTCTTCACTTCCTCTCCTCTTCCTCTCCTCCGCGACTCTAAACCCAGCATTTGTCTGACAAGGCTCGGAGGGTTTCACTCTTATTAATATCAGTAAAAGCCTCTGATATAATATAAAATGCATGTTTCAAGAAAAAGTCAACTGCAGCATTCAAACCCTTGGCTCTCAAGGATCGTTCCCCAGAATTCACCACGCAGAGGAAGCGGGCGACGCTTTCATCAAATTTGAGTTACGAGTGAGTGAAGCCGCCTCATTAGCTAAAAAGCTTATTATGCTGACTGTGATGCTCATAAATTATTACATAACTTTTTATTCCCCCCGACCCCGACACTCGCCCCCGAACTTCTCCTTCCCTGCTCATGTATGTTTGTACAGAGCTGCTCCATCGCACAGAAGCTCCTCAGCGTTTTCCTGTGGAGCGACAGCAAAGCAAAAAAAAAAAAATGGCCGTTCAGCATCACCGTCACTGATCTAACGTCCCTTTAACAAACCGAGAGTCGGACCGTGCCCGCCCCGCTTCAGCTAATATCGCCACGCTGCGTCATTATTTGATTATGCCGGCTGGAAGTTGGCCGTGCTTATTCAGCTCATCAGTCTCTGCCGTCCTCAACTCGGGTCTTAATTCAATACCAGGCATCTGTGTGTTCCCGCCACACGATGCCTGTTATTGTTTAATATCTTTCTGTGGGGGGAAAGATTACACTCTCACATGCAGGTGTCATTATTTATTTATTTATTTTTAATTCTTTTTACACAACATGCTCGCTGCAGAGTCCCACTAATAAAAATCTGTTCTAACACTGTTTGTGTGAAGCTGGATTCCTGCCTCAACCATCCGAAAACTAAACCAGATGCTTTTTAAGATGCTGCATATGTGTGTATTTAGTGGATTTTTCCGAATTTGTGCAGTTTTTTCCTAAAAAAAAAAAAAACAAAAAAAAACACCCACCCTCCTCAGCTACTGTCTTATGCTTCGTCCATTTCCAAACCTAATTAAAAATAATTAGAAGTTCTCTGGCTGCCAAGGGGTTAAAGCGCTGACCATGAACTACAACACCCCCTGGTTCGTCCTTTTAATGCATCTCTCCCCTGTAATTTCCTGTCAACTCTCGACTGCAGTCTCTCTAATAAAGGCATAAAATGCTAGTTATTTTGTTTTTTTTTTATTATTATTATTAATTTTGCATATGGGACTAGTTTATATTTAGTTTGTGGACTTTAAAGACTCAGATGAGGCTTTTCAAAAGTAGAAAAATGCAGAGGTTTTTCTGCAGATCGCATTATAGATAAAGAGAAAAGAAATTACAGTCATTTTCGAGACTCCAAAATATGGGATTTGGGGTTTTCTTGGGGGTCCAGTGTGATAATTAAGAGGTCTGAAGGGTCTGTAGTTTGTAACCTTGCTTACATCAGCTGTTGGAGTAACCTCAGTTCTGACTTTTTAATCATAACATCTACACGCTCAGTTTTTTTTTTTAATGCATTAAGTCTCGAATGGTCGGTCTCCGTCGGTCTCCGGCATAATAGATTTTATACGGTACATGGAAATTCTTTAAGAATAGCTCTGAGCTGAAATTACATTACATTAGATTAATATACTAGATTGCAGCAACCCTAATGTTCATCTCCTGCTCCTTATTCTTTATGTGCTTCTGGTTATTTCCTCAAGTCAGTCTTTTTCATCTCAGATTATGCTCTGGGCTCCTTTTTTTGCAAGTCGATTTATTCCCTTTCTTGTCAAGTCACATCATGTCACAATGCCTGAGCACAAAGTTTTTATTTTATAACACATTTTGTTTTTACCTTGTGTTCATTTTCACTGAGAACACAGTCTTTTTTTTTTTTGTTTGTTTGCTTTTTTTTTTCCCATTGGCCCCCGGGGAGTTTTGTTAGCTGTGAGGAAGTGAGCTGGAACTTTATTTTTTATTTTTTTTCTGAGCCTAGCTGTGTGTTACAGACTCGGTTGATTTATAAACAACTCCCCATATTGCGCAGAGGGGAGGTGGAGCAGGAGAAATGGAGCTGGAGGTGCTTTTATTTCGCAGCGTTTTGAAATAAAGACGAAGAAGCAGAAGCTGGGAAAGATATAAATGGAAGGAACGGGTTAGTTATAGAGGGATTAGGAGGGATAAATCAAAACATGCAGATGGGGGGGGGTGAATTACGATGTTCATAATATAATATTGTTTAGCCTTTATCCCCACAGACACTTCGCTCTCACTGCCACCAACATCCTTCAGAGGGGTAACCCCTGCTGTGGGTGCCTGAAGAGCCCCCCCCCCCCCCCCAGGGCTCGACTGACATGGATCAGAGAGGAGAGGGAGATGATGGGAAAGGGGATAAAGAGGTGTGGGGGCAGGCGGGGGTTTGGGAGACGAGCGAGGGGAATCACTTTACAGGCGATGAGGAGATAAGAGGCAGAGGTCGAGGGGCGGTGAGGGGTGAGAGGTAAGGGAGCGGGATCAGACGGAAAGCAGGGATGAAAGGCAGAGGCAGAAAAAAAAAAAGGGAGAGGTGGGGCGAGGGGGCTGGAGGAGAAATGAGGATCAAGGCCAGCCTGAGAGAGAGAGAGAGAGCGGGAAAAGGGGGGGGGGGATTTAGTTGGTCGGGCCATTGATCTACGAGCCTGGGGGTCAAACACAGGGTGAAACAGTGCTAATGCAGGCCGCTGCAGAGCTGACATACATACGACATTCCCATGTCCCTATATCCTCACGGGGCATTGACAACGACCAATACTGCCACTTATGGTGTTGGTGTTTGTAATGTGGCATGTTTTGGAAAAACAATTAGTAGGAGTGAAGATACGATGGTTTAGTCTTTGTTTTGTTTGGTCTCTTTAAACTGAACATTCAACATGATTGAAATAAGCCTTCACGACAAGCATCTATATATGTTAATACTAGGATTAAGATTAAATTAAGAGCAAAATTATTACAATGAAACATGATTTTGTCACATGTGAAACAAACCGATTCATTGAATGTCGAAAACTAATAAGCAAAATATTTTAAGGCGTTGCCACATTGGATATTTTACATGTGACAAATTCAAATAATGAAGGGAAGCGTATGTGATCGACTAGCGCTCGTACGGTATTGAGGAGTATCTGAATCTGTGGCTACAGTTTTGTAATTCCACCTTCCCGTGTGAACCGTGTTCTCATGAAGCTGTGGCTTTGCTCATTTTAGACGATTCACCGATGCTACCACATGCAGAGTGTTTGGACTGAATGTTTGGCAAAGACTCATCATGTACAACAAAGTGTTTGTTTTAAATTTAGCCTCGGATTTACCCCCCTCCTACCCCCACCCCCACCCCCCTTATTCTTTTTGTTAACTGCAAAATAAAAGAAAAACTTATCATTGGAGTAAACGCACAGAGTTTATGATAATCACTGTAAATTAGTTCAAGTGTTGTGGGGCAATTAGAGGATCTGAAGCGAGGTATTTTTAGGTGGTTGGCATGCTAAAAGCTTAATTATCCATTTTAATTCTGAACCATATTCCTGTTTATTCTGTTACTGCGATTCTTTGATTCATAAAATCATCACTAGAGAGTCTGATATCTGGACGCGTCGCTCTGCGGCTCAGTCTTAACGAGCCAACAGCCCGAGTCAATCAGTATGAAAAGGACTTAAATGAAGTTTTGCAGTCTTATTATTCTGATTAGGAGAGAGTGGAGTCTGTATCTGCAGTTTTACCTGCTGTGCAGTCTGAGCATGTTGCCCTGAATAAACCGATGTCCTCTTTCTCTTCCCTCTCCCTCAGTGGAAGCAGCGGGGGGAGCAGCAGCAGGGAGAACAGCGGCAGCAGCGGAATTGGCATTCCCATCGCAGTGCCTACACCCTCCATCCCCATGTCTGGCCCAGGTGAGCGTTGATAACTGCACAGCGAGCCGCCGCAGCAGCAGCAGCAGCAGCTTTCAGTAAACAGTTACTATAGGCCGGTAGGTCTGATATAAGGCAGGGGCAGGATTGTACTCTACCAGCTTCAGGCATTTTTGAAAAGCCTGCAGTAAAACCTGCCCCTCCCTGTCTCACAGAGCTGCTAACCCACCTGAGAATGTCATTAAATTTGGTTTTGGAGCTTTTATTTCCCCCCTTTTCCCATGCTCCCATGCTCCCAGCACTGGTTAAAGGGATTTTCTGTCCTTATAAGAACTCTTTAGGGTATAAAAATGAACAAATATCTGCTGTTTACATTCCCAAAATATCCGGGTTTTTTTGCACTCAGAAACTCGTATCAGTTGAATTCTTGTCTGTTTGACCTGCGTGAAACAACATAACACTCTTTAAACATTGACAGGCAGCGATGAGAATACAGGGCCCTGCTGTTTGCACAGAGCACATGCCTCTGTCAGAGTTTACTTTCGTACATAAATTAAACCACAGGCAGAGTGACAAGTCTAAAGTACAAATCTGCAAAAATGCACCCAAAATCTCAGGAAACAGATTTCTTTTTTTCTTTTTTCTTTTTTTAAATATGATATGCATGAATATAACAATGATAGCACTACATGACAAGGTGTAAATTTGACAGTCCCTGTGCAAATAGTGAGACTACTCTACACAAAGCCTATGTTTACCAGACAGGGATTAAGCAGGCCCATTGTGTTCTAAGCACAGCTGATTCTCTATCCTACTGTGTAAATAGGCCAAGCTGTGTTAGGCCTGCTGCTTTACAGTGGAACAGTAAGGCCCAGATAACACCACGCTACACACTACACACTACACACTACACATAGCACTGCATTACGCCGTACGCATGCCAGAGATCGCACCGCGTTTTAGCTTCTGCTGCTATGAGGGAGAAATATTTTAGGTTTTATGTAGTAGCTGTTCCACCTCAGCACCCAGGATCGTGCCAGCAATACAGGACTAACCGCGGCTCTCCCGTACAAGCCGGTCGCCATGGAAACACTCAGTTCATGCCACAAAGAAGTGTGCGCGGAGCGGAGCTGTGCCTTGACAAAGTCGAAGTGCTCCCCAAGCCCCACAGGGTTCCCGAGTGAAGCGATGTGCTGTTATGTAACTGTAAAGGTGCAGGAGGCGGGCGAGGACACGCTCCCGTTTCCAGCTTCAGTATCAAACTAATGTAAATACTCCTTTCAGTCCCACCCATGTCTGCTCCCCCGGGAGCCCCGCCGCCTCCCCCACCCCCTCCTCCTCCTCCTCCTCTACTACCTCCACCTGCTCCCCACATGGCCGGGCTCACCCCCCCAGCACCAGCACCACCACCACCAGCACCACCACCACCACCACCACCCATAGGTGAGACTCCTCGAACCCTGAGGCCGCTCCCGTTCTGCCTGCTGTCTGGAGGGTGGACGATCAGCACGTCTTTTTATTATGATCCTTCTCAAGTAGCACGTGCACAAATAAGGGTGTTGTGGGTGTGGATGGGTGCCTGTCTGTGCACACTGCAAGCAAAACCGGCTCTTATTAACATATTGTTAATGTCATAGAGTAGTAAATTTCTTTTTGTTTTTAAAGTTTAAATGAATAAGTAGACGTAACTTGCCAAAAAGTATTAATTAGGTAATGGAAAGAAAAACTTTATCCCCCAAATTTGTGCTTCCTGGGCAAAAGTATTATCAATGAAATGTAATAAGATTATTAAAGGGATGAGGAAGGATGGGAATCTGGCTGTTGACAAGTAATAGCTGTAGCCAACTTTTCTCTGCCAATAAACTTGTTGACCTAAACACATCAGCCAAAATGTCCCAGTTGTTTCAGCTCTGTGGTTGCTTGCAGTGTGAACAGGCTGTGTATGTGTTTCTGTCTGCAGACACAACAGGGCACAGTTTACATACTTATACTATGTGGTTCTTAGAAAGAAGGTAAACCTCAGTGGTGGTGGTACTTTTACTTTCTAATTCTTTACCGATCTGTTATTGGCTAATTTAAGAAGTCTCATATCACCTAAGGTCTGGATAAAGTTAATTAGTGCCTGCAGAATCTCCAAACTTGTTAGTTTACATTTGATCTCGAGCTGCTGTTCATCTCAGCCCATTGGCGATTCACATTTACAACTTTAACAACCTAAAAATTCAGGAGTAAAATGTGAGACACTCAAAGTGTGTGTGCAGTGTTTCCATACAAAGATAAAATTCATTCACCTTGAGGGCTGTGAGACTTCTTTGGCACAGGTAGAGTACGTCACTGTTTGATTTGATTTCCTTTTCTATTTCCCGGAAAACTGACTGAGGTTAAAGCTGCTGTACCCGCCGTTCCATGCTAACTTCAAAATTAGCTTCTTTTGTAACTAAGTGGAAATTTATGCATCACTAAATTAAAACTGGTTGTACCAGATGTACAGATATATCATCACCAAATATTTACACCGAGTAACTGCCAGATGTAGCTGTTACGTAGCTAACCGAACCAACTGGTTTAGCTAACATTAGCATGCTAATATAAGACCCGAGTTGATTGAAGAGTAAAAGAAGTAACTGAATGTGGAAGACATACCTGATACTTAATGAAAATGTTGTTCTTATAATCATGTAAAGTGGATTTTTTTGGAGATTTTAAATTACATTTCACAAAATACCTGAAATTACAAAACATTGTGCTAATAATGTTAGGCTAGCTAGCGTAACTGGCTATTTCCATGGATATTTCCCACATAATTTAAATTATCAGACTAACTACTAACTCTGAAACACATTTATTTCTCCATGAATGCATATATAATTTTTTTTTAAAAAAGTAACATTAACATTAGTTAAGTTTAACATATTTACCCTCTTAAAACTATTAAATTAGAACGTACGTGATGCTACAGTGACTTCCTGTTTACATAGTTGAACAGCAACAAGTTCACACATTACTAAAGTCTTAACTAGCTTAGACTTTTGTTAAGTTTTAATAGCGTGGTAATTAACTAGTTTAAAACTAGCTAGTAGTTACTGAAGTATGAGGTGCTAGTTATGGTCACTTCACACAGAATCCTCTGCGTGCAAAGAGAGAAGGATTAATTGAAACCTGAAATAGAAAAAACATGGAGACATGATTTCTGGGTAATGAAGTTCTAAAACATTCAAACAGCCATTTGGATGCTGCAAATGTTCAATATTGCTTGATGCAGATTTAATTTACAAGTTGTATTGACTCTGAATCACTGAGTGATGCTTGTTTTGATTTACTCCGAGAGCTCTGCAGAAACTGAGACACATCCAGCTGTTTGATTAATATCAACTCCGGTGTTTGTACAGTGGCTGCTCGTATCTGATCGACTCCAGCCAAATTGAAATTCTTCAACAAGATGATCACTTGAAAGTTTCCCTCAGAACATCAGTGCACACTTTCAGACATAATTACTGCTGCCGGGCACAATATGGAGAAGTTTGTTTGCCGTTGTGTTTCTTCAGAATCTTTACTTCCTCTGGTTCCACCCATCCCCAACTGAGAGCAGGGCCTCTCCCGAGAGACACTGCGTTATCTAGAAATATGGACAGGAAATACTCAAACAGACAAACAGTTTTTTAACCCCATTCTGTCCCTCTGCATTTTTTTGTTTTGCACACACACACACACACACATACTCACACCGCTCGCACGGTCTTTAAATATTTGAGTGTATTTAATGTTGCAGTAATGCTGCTGTTTGAAGAGATGGTTCGGGTTATCCTCAGACGACCGGTGTACTCGATCGTGAACTCTCCCCGCCGTCTCTCGAGTAGATATTTAAACTCACGTCCATGAAAAGAGTGTGAAGAAGTTTTTTTTCTTTTCACTGCCGGTTCTGTTGAACCCTGAAGGATTAGTCTGTTCTGTTGCTGCTCTGTTCTGTTTTCTCACTGAACCCCCCCCCCCCCCCCTTGTTTTTCCTTTTTTGCTATATTTTCTAAAGAAACTTGAAGTGCTGGATTTATTTTTGACGACCTCTTGAGACTCTTGTGTTTCATTTTACCCTGGTGAAATGTCTCTGTGAGAATTTTATCGGTTGATAATCTGCGTTGCATCCCTAGCTCATCGGCTTCCTCTGATTGGTTATTGATTGTCTTTTCAGAAGGTGTGGGGCTCTAATCAGAATTTAAAAGCTCACGTTAACTTTTACACCGTTGATGATTCATGTTGTGGGTGCTTTTTTTTTTTCCTTCTTCCCCTTTCCATCTCCTCTATCTAACCCCCATCTTCCCTCTTTGGTCCTGTCTGTCTTTCCTCTTTTCCTTCCCTGTGTTTTTGGGTTTTTCTAGCGGTGGCCCCTGGGCCTGGTCTGGGCCCCGCTCCAATGTCCCAGTTTGGAACCATCTCGCGGCAGATTTCGCGGCACAACCCCTCCAACTCCTCTATCTCTATGGTTTCGGCCACGGGCACCTACCGCCGGGCGCCGTCGGTCACTTCCCAGTTCTCCTTGCAGCAGCAGCAACAACTACAACAGCAGCAGCAGCAGCAGCAGCAACAGCAACAACAGCAGCAGCAGCAACAACAACAGCAGCAGCAGCAGCAGCAGCAGCAGCAACAACAGCCTCATATTAATGGAGGCACTCCTGGCTACGGCCAGAACTCAAGTAAGGCCCTTCTGTCTCCAACCCACGCCTGCGTTATAGAGTCTAAACTGTCACTGAAGCACAAAACCTCACATTTCTTCCAAATGATGCACAGTCACAAACTAAAGCAAGCTAACCTTTGTAGCCACAGACCAGTGTTTCATATCTGCAAGTGAGTCACTGCTTTCCGAAGGTCAAGCTTGATTTCTTGTCAGAATTATTGACTTTCCCCTTAACTGCCTGTAAGTGCAGGTTAATGCCTTTATATTTTATTCTTTTTTCTTTTTTCTTTTTTTTATCTAAATGTGGGATGTCTTTAGTATTGATGCAGAACGCCTCGTCCTTGAGTTCAACCGAAGAGGCGGTGCAGACAGTCTGTCTGCTAACGACGCACAGTCACAGTTTTTGGCATCACCAGGAATGCATAGTCAAACATTGACCTTTTTAAATGTAGTTCTTTGTTTCCTTTAAAACTTAACTTGCTACTGTCTAAAACCTAGGCTCCGTTTCTATCTGTTACCAACCTGCGATCAATATCTGATTCACGGGCCTTTGCGTTTACACCTGCTATTAATGAGCGTTATCTCAATTTTCCCCTGCGTTGAGATCAAGTCTCATTATGCATATTAGTTAAGCATGTCACAATCCAAGAAGAGCGACGCTCGGTTTGTACGTCATTCATTTTTAATCACGTCACTTTTTCAGGGAAAGACTTTCTAGCTACTGGTGCAACTTGCAGCTTGAGATAGCTGAAAGAGTTAAGTGACCTTTTTTAAATTTGTGGGAAGATTTTCTTTGTATTGTCTTCCCGTCAACCGTGCAACTTTTGTTCTCCCAGGTCTGTTAGATTTTTTGTAAAAACATTACTGTGACTTTTACACTTTATTTTGGAAGTTTACGGTCAATATACATCATTTACATAAAATTGTACCTTGTTTTTGGGTTAAAGAAAATTAAATTTTGAGTTATTTTGAGTCGCGTTACAATCAGAGGAACAGGGATATGTCAAAGTTTACTCAGGATACTGTTTGGAAACCGCAGATGCTATTAATTTGAATTAAACACCAAAAATTCAATGAAAATAGTGATAATTTGCAAAGATTGTAGTAAGGAACCATTCATGTTAAGTTACATGAAAGAAAAAACATATTTGTGCCATAAAAACATTTGAAAAAGGGGCAAATTTGGCCCAAGGACAACAGGAGGGTTAAGAATGTGGTCACGCTGTACAAATTACATTTACACCTGGCTGACATCAGATCACAGTGTGAACCAGACCGGCTCCATATGTGTGCGAACGCATTCAGACTCCACCGTGAGTTCTGGTTTTAATATGTCACTGCCACTGTTGATCAAATGATCCGGGAAAAGTCTGAGAAAATGTAAAATAAGAATTCAAAGTACAAAACTACAACAGGTTCCAAAGGGAGTTCAGCAGCCTTGCCTGGAATTTAGGTTGACAGACATTCAAGGCAAACAGTGCCCCCTTGTGGCCGTGGTCGTTACTCGCTGACTTCACAGTGGGAACTCTCCGATTGACAGAAATCAAACGTAATCTGCAGTTTATCCTCTGGCCTCAGAGATCCCCAGATACCCTGTGAAATCTCATCACAGTCACAGACGTCATTCAACTTTTCAGTCTTTACAGCGTTTTTTTTTTTTTTTGCATCTGATTCTGCGGAGGCGCTGCAGCTGCAGTTGATTGAGTTCATGTGGCCATCATTATTTTAATAATTGATTTTGGAATTTTTCTCTAGAAAATGTTCAAAATATAAAAAATAAAAAATGTGTGAGTCAGCGCTCGATCTGTCACTGCTGCGAATCACTGTCTGGTTCCATCAGTGTTCATGCTCACAGTTGTTGCAGTGTGTTTCTTTAGTCTCTGTCAGTGTTGTGTTTGCTTGGGATTGGGATGCACTCTTTAACTGTCTTCTGTACATTCTTGGTGACTGATGGGCTTTCTCTTTGTTTTTGTTTTTGTTTCTTTCTTCCTCTGTTGCTCTCTTTCTCTGCATTTTTTTTTTTCTTTCTTTGCCGGCTTTCAGTGTCTATCGCTCCTCCTCCTCCCCCCATGCCCCAGCTGACTCCACAGATACCTCTGACTGGCTTTGTGGCCAGGATGCAGGAGAGCAGTAAGTGAAGAGGCTAAGAAAAATACTTTCCTCCTTATCTGTGCCAACTATTCCCACTCTGACATCACCCAGCATGCATTGTGCTTGTTCATCGTCCGTCCTCTTCTCTCCTTCTGTTGAGATCAACCTCCTGCAACAATGTACTATGAAAGAACGTGTCTCATTAGAGTTGTTTCATCATTTATTACACTTGCAATCACCTTTATATGTTGTTCGGACACAGATTCATTTATAAAACTACAATTTCTTATTGTTTTTCAGGGGTGTGAGACATAGATTATGGAATAATCTCACTTGGCAAGAGAAGTGACATTTTAAAATACATGCAGGAGAGAAAATAATGAATTCTGTTGCTGCCACAGACTGTTTTTAATGTAGTTATTTAGGTGATCTATTTACTGGTTGAAGCACAACAGGATTGAGTTCATTTGAGGTGAATAATAATGTTTTAAGTGGGAAAAAAATGCCAAAAAAAGGGGGTCACTGCAGGGCAGGGCTGGAGAAGACAGGGCCCTTTGCTGCCCCCTGCTGGTCCATAACATGCAGTGTTGAAGTATTGTGTGCATTATTTCTTGACAGAAGCAACTTTAAATGTCAGCAGTGGACATTTATTAATGGATAATGTTTAAGGCAATTAAAGTGTTATATAAAATGTTCATTAAAACAATAGAAAAGCCGCTACAATACCACCACCACCACCCCCCACCCCGCCCCCCACCCCCAATATGGATGCTGTCAGACAAACCTCTAACATACTAAATAGCATGACTCGGCATGTGAGATCAATTAAGTGCTCATGAATCATGTGTAATTTTCCTTTTTTTTCTGTACGTGCATGACTGAATAGAGCCACAACAAGAGGAGCACAAACTACACAGCTCACTTAAGAGGCTTTAAACATACACTATATCATCCTATTAAGCGATCCACGGGAAGTCCTAACGGCGATGCAGCCTGCTTGATGAATTTAATATTCAAAAAAAAAAAAAAAGAAAACTTCCATACACACTGTTCTGCATGTCCTATCATTACTCCTGCATGGTTCAGCCGCCGCCCTCTCCATCACAGGCTCATGCAAACCGGTGATTCTTCAACCTTTTGAACCCAACCCGGGAAAAGTCTTCTCAGTGATCTCACTTCTCCGTCTGTTCCAACACAGTTGCAGATACCCCTACTCCACCTCCCCCTCCACCTCCGGATGACATGCCCTTGTTTGACGACTCTCCTCCGCCGCCGCCGCCTCCTCCGGTGGATTACGAGGAGGAGGATGCTGCTGTCGTGCACTACAACGACCCCTACGCTGACGGAGACCCGCAGTGGGCTCCCAAGAACTACATCGAGAAAGGTTTGTTCAAGAAAATAAATTTAAAAAATAGTCATCTTTAAGTCTTACTTTTACGGAAACCCTTCTTTCTTTTTTTTTGTCTATAGTTTATTAATTAATTGGATACTCACTTTGTTCTTCTCTCGTCAGTGGTGGCCATCTACGACTACGCCAAGGACAAGGACGACGAGTTGAGTTTCATGGAGGGGGCGATCATCTACGTCATCAAGAAGAACGACGACGGCTGGTATGAGGGCGTGTGCAACGGCGTCACCGGCCTGTTCCCCGGCAACTACGTGGAGTCCATCATGCACTACGCCGACTGAAGGGACCTCGCAGTAACAGTACAGTCTATTTATTCAGTCATATCATAATCCACTGAGAGACTGACAGCAGAAATCTTGACTCCGCATAGACATAACTGTATGATCCTCTTTTGATATGACAGAATGTTCTTTCCCTAACTGATTGCAAATAAAATAAAAAGTAATATCTATTTAGTTTATTTTGGTGTTAAATGGGCGGGGTTGGGGGACATTTATGGAATATGTAAAATAATAATTAAAAAAAAAAGGTTTTTAAAAGAATTGGACTGCACGTGCTCTCGCCGGTTGAACTCAAAGACGATGGTCGCACAGCTGAAGGATGTACATCTCGCCTGGACAAAGATTTGTGATTCAGAACTGAATCCTTTTGTGAACAAGAGTATTAGGTTTTATGGAACAAATAAAAAAAAATAAATAAAAAATGTTAATGTCACGTACGCACCTTCAGTTGAAGTGTCTGTACTGTCAGTTGTATATAATGTGAGCTGCAGCCGCTCTGGGTTTCTGTAATGTAAATTCAGTGAATGTCGATTATATGATAGTTTTCATTAGTGGTGCCCTCCTCGACGCCATGAGGCCCGTTTGTACGGTGAACAAACACGGACGGCCTGTCAATAATTCACAAATTTAAATACTGTAAATGGTATTTCAAAGAAAGTTATTTCTGAAAAAAATCACTTTGGCGTTAAAAGCATGCAAAATTTTAAGAGATATAATGTAATCTTAAGTTTATTGCCATTATGCTTCCATTATGTTGTAAGTGTACTCACCTTTTTTTTTTTTTTTGTTTTGTTTTAATTTTTATTCCACTGTTGTAATCACTGAACTTTTTAGACTCTGAAGTAATTTTCAGGCTTTCCCGTGGTCTCACCTTTTTGTTGTTTTTAAATGCGGATTTGTCATTTTAACTTAAAAATCCTAAAAATGAAAGAGAGATCACTTTGTCGAGCGTTTAGATCAGTTTGAAGCAAGAAAACACATTCCATTATTTTATTTTTTTTTGGCTTATTAGAAAAGCATTTAAAAGATAATGTCACATCACTGTTATATCCTCTATACTAATCCACACACAATCTGTAGGATCCATTGGTAACTGGCAATAACAGACGGCGTGCGGTGACGGTTAGACTGGAATTGTCGTGCCTAACACTGCCATGCGACAAATTTCAGATGTAACGCAGTAGACCAATAAACAACTCTAATACCTCCTCAGTCTTCTCAAAGCAACAACGACCTGCTCTGGGTTCAAGGACCATGTTGACTGCTCCGAACATGAAGTCCTCTGGGCTGCACAGGTGTACATATTTAACTCAAGTAAAAAAAATTAAAAAAAAATCAGCCAATCAATATTAGGTTTCACTCAGGTCTCGAAATCATCTTGATAACATTGTTTTTTTTTTTGTTTTTTTTGTTTTTTTTAGTTAGCCCTCGAACATTCATCTAACATGATCTTGACTTTCAAACGCAAGGTTAACACGCATGTGGTCGCCATGTACCGTTTCAGGATACTGCAGCTGATGCCTTGATGTTTTGCCCATTTTGCTTTAGTATTTCCAAATTAAAAAAAACAAAAAAAAACATGTTCTGGCTCAATTTCATGGGTAGAAAATATTGAAATCTATCTCTGTCTGCCCTTCATTTGTACATATAAAATGTTGATTGAAAAATTAATGTACAGTCTTTTATAATAAACAATTCTATGTACAACATGCATGTGTGGTCACTTGGAAGAAATCAAAAACACAGAGCAAAATATTGATTTAAATAAAAAAAAAAGAAAAGAAAAACTGTTGGTTTATTGAGCACACAGTCATTGCAGATGTTAAGGCCTTCAGTTGTTACAGGGCACTTTGCATTACAGAAGTAACCTCCATAACATTTCACAAGTCGAAAAGACGCGACTGTTTGGCCTTTTAAAAAGGTGTGGACGGATCTCGAAAAGACATTAACACAGATCCAGACGCTCCTGACACCCATGACAATTATGCACTTTTTTTTTGTATATATATATATATATATATATCATTTGGAATAATAGAGATTGTGCAACAACTCCACAGCTCAGGACTAGCAGGTAACAAACTGTGTTCACTCACAGTCTGCTAGTTCGAGTCATGGGGAGGCAGTTGTAGTTACAGTACTGTACGTGTTGAAGGTATTGGTTGCAGTTTGCGGTGGCATCCCATAATTTAAAGATTATAATTCATTTCCAGATCATCGCCGTGATTTCACGTAGGAAGCCGAAATCACAAGGATGTGCATTTAAAAACCAAGTGTATTTATATGTCAAAACCATTTTAATGCGACTAACCCATACGTATGTTTCAGGAGAGAGCCGTGAAACAACGGGTTTGTCGGTTCGGGGAGACCCCTGCAAGCTGCTCCGATTCTCAGTAAGTGTTCTGACAAAGCTTGCTCCCCTTTTCCATTTACAGTTGGCACTAAAAACCAGCACCTAGGGGGGGGGGGGTCCCCCGAACCAAACTCCCCATCGCTTCCCTCACCGTCTCCGTTTCTGACCGCCCCCCACCCTGTGCAGACAAACACACACACACAGACACGGTGGAGGGGGGAGGGGGGGAGGTCAGGATGAGTTGTCTTTCAACAGGTAGCTGCCTGAAGTGAACCCCCCCCCCCCACCCCCCACCAGGAGGAGGCTCATTTGTCTCTGGTGAGCACCATCTCAGTGAGCCTGATGAGGGCATCTCTCTCTGGGGACGGCCTGAGCATACTGATCTGTCGGATGGCTTCTTGACAGTAACGCTGGGCCAGGAAGTTGGTCTGTTGCACGCCATCGCTCTGAAGCAGAAACAAGAGGGGGGGGGGGGGGGTCACTCTTTTTCCTAATTTTTAAACAAACCTTGATCTGTAATATTAGTTCATGTCAAGCTTATAATACCATGTCTGACACAGGAAGGACGACATTGTTTCCTTACAGAACTTATTGAGGATATAATTATCTGTGACTGAAAATATCTGTAATCTCTATTTAATACATTTCAGGACCTTACATGACAATAATATCAACACTTAAAGGTCCTATATTTTACATTGTTCCTGTGTTTTATTTGAAGTGTTGATCCATTTGTAATTTTTGTTATTATGTATTATTGGTCATACCTGAAGGACGTATTGCCAGGCTCGATCTACATCTCCATTGGAGCTGAAACGCCTCATGATCATTGCATGAAGCTCAGGAAACTAAAAAAAAGAAATAGAGATAAAGACATGACTCTTGTGTACAGTTTGTATTAAAACCTGAACATGTTTCCAGTTTAAATAATAAAATGTTGGTCTCACCTGCTGACAAGCAAACAGGACTGGTCCAGTGGCCAAGCCCAGTTTGAGATCTGCAGCTGAGGGCTTCCCCAGGTGATTGGCTCCTGATGTGAAGTCCAAGACATCATCCACTAACTACAGGACAGAGACAAATAAACTCGTATTGTAACTCTAGTTCTCACTTTGCAAATATGGCTGATGTGATTCGAACACATAAAAAGCTGCGACTAAACATCAGAACGTGCCTGAAATGCGATGCCAACATTCTTCCCGTACTGGTAGGCGATTTCATGAACTTCGGGATCAGAATTTACCAGAATGGATACCTTAAATAAAAGAGGATAGACAGTCAACAAAAAACATTTAAGTGCAGAAACTGAGGCCTCCTTCCATCTCTGGGCTATTTATGTGCAGACAGAACGTACATACTGCTTTACAACTGTTTGCAATAAGACTCGCCGTCTTCTTGAAGGTTTTCTCGAGGTAGTGTTTGAATCTCTCGTTCTCGTTCTCCTTAGAACCCAGCTGCATGAATTCACCTGGAAGCACAATCGGTATAGATTGGGCATTGAAATTCACCGACAAGGAAAACCGATTTGAACAGTTTGAGTGCTATACCGTACCTCGTACCAGGTCTTCTATGACCTGGGACAACACTTTAACCACAGTGTTGTTTCCAATACGAGCCAAGGCCATGGAGGCGGCTGAGAGGATGAAATCTCCTGCCAGGATCGCCTGGAAGAGAGGACAAAAAGAAAATTACATATATATCCTCAAATAAAATATTATCAGGTGAGACGAAGAGGAAAGAAGCCGTTACCTTTCTTTCACCCCACACTTCATTGATGGTTCTCTTTCCTCTCCGCTTATCTGATCCATCTATGACGTCATCATGCACCAGGCTGGCAGTGTGGATCATTTCTGAGATCATAGCTATGGCCCTCTGCCCTGGGAGCAAATCTCTGCCGAAGGACAAAGGCCGGCGACAGATTGCAGGAAGTGAGATGAAATAAAAACCCTGGATTATGATTCATATAACAATTTAAGAATTGCTGTCACAAGGCGTGGTGCATCTTCTCTGTAACCAGTGTATTACAGGTCACTTGTAAATGAGTTGTGTTTGTAAATTGTGATAAAATCTTACCCTGCTCTGTTGCTGTGGATGTTGAGAGCCCGGGCCATCAGGACAACAATCATTGGTCGGATTGCTTTGCCCTTGCCATCAAAGTAGTAGTCACATAGTGACTTCAGCTCTTCTTTAGATACAAACAGCTCCTGTGAAGCCGAGTAATAAAATTCATGTATTTTATTTCAATCATAATCTACTAGTGTCCAAACACTTGGTACGAGATTCTGCACAAATTTTGGGATGCTTGTTTCTCACTTATACAAAAAGGCCAGTAAAACTAATGCATACCTTGATGGTTCAATTTTAAATATATTTATTGAAAATGTACCTTTTTGATGTCATCATATAAACTTGTAAGGTCTTTCTGGGCTAACGTGAAGGGGTCCTTGAGCTTTGCATCACTGTGTAACGTTCTGCAGCAACAAGACTGTAGTGTGGGATACAGCAACCGTGACTTGTGTCTGCAGAGAGAGACATATAAACATAAACTGTGATAATACACCAAATGATATGTGTAAGAAATGAAGACCTCAGGATCTCATCACAACTCACCTGTTTAGAGATGAGGTAAAGTTTAAAATTTTTGGGTTTATCTGTGTAGATGACGATGGCTGTCCCTGAAAGTCAAAATACAAAAGGGTAGACAAAGACAGATTATCAGTTCAGGCACATTCACATCAGACGTGCACATTTTATTATAATAACTTCAGAAAATAAACAAACATAATCTGACAGGGATCATATACACTACTTTTTTAATTACTGTTGTGAATTTGGGGATTTTAGCAAGCTGAGGTAGGTTTAATATTCTACAATTAACAATTTACTCATGTTTATTCTGTAAGCCAATTTTAAGAAAGAAATTCTATATATAGACCCTCATGTTAGTAAATGTAATTTATAGAGAGAATAAGCGAACAGGAACTTCCTGTGATTCATCATGATAAATACAAATAATTTAAGAAAATGTCTGATATCTTGGATTATGGTTTGTGCTTAAGATTTTTTTGAATGATGGTTTATTTAAATTGAGGGAGCAAGTCTGGAACAGCACACAGGAGTCAATGTCAAATAAATGAATGAATAAATGAATGAATGAATGAATGCAACAAAATCGAAATGACCAGAAACTAGACAAGACCTTCTTTAGGATTCGTAGGACAGCAGGCTAAATAAAGGACAGAGCTTAGTGTGCCTGCCCTATAGTATCTGGAGCAGGTCTTGACCTTTATGTGTGCAGGATAAGTTGAACAAGCCAACACCCCTGCAACAAGTCACCATTCAATTGCGAAATTCTTACAAAACGCAGTTACCCTTTGCAATAGGCACATGACAGAATGTCAGGAAATGCAACACACACTGCAGTGAAACACATGTTGGCTGAATGAGACCACCATTCACTGGGACCGGCTGACAGCTCGGTCCCATGTATGACCTTCCTAGCTGGGTTTGACAGCACTCCCTTCCCGGCGTCCTGCCAGCCGCAAAACTCACCTCGTTCCCCGGCCTTGAGCTCCACGACGGCCACCCCAGAGAGGACGCCGAGAAAGACACAGACCTGCAGTTAAAATGCCACAAGGTTTCCAATAAACTCGCACTCGTACAGTTTGTACTCCACCTCCGGCATTGCCTCCACATCGGACCCGCCATGTTCCACAGCCCGCACGCGTCACCTTCGGCTCATATAATTCAACGGAACCGGAAATGAGTAACCGGGGTCCGTTGGTGACGCTCCGTAAATTGGATTTAACGTTAGCAACAGAAGGCAGAATATTTAGAGACACACAATTGTTTTCCTTCAAGATGACATTCATTTTCTCTGGAATGCAGTGGTAGAAATAAACCACTGTTTGTTTTCTCCAGAAAATATACGAGCGTAAGTTTTGGAGATAAGGCTACTAGCTGGTTAGCTAACAATTAGCTTAGGTAACTGTAGCTACTGGGGTTTTCAATAGAACTAATGTTTAATATTTGAGATATTTTTAAAAACAAACCGGACAAAGTTATGTTAGCCTACCTGGTTTCCACAGTACGGCTAACTGCTTTAATTTAGGGTTGTTTTTTGTTATTTATTTAGGATTAAGCTTACCTGAGGTTAGGCTCTAAAATACTAAGTCATGAAAGCTCATAGTATAATAAGGGGGAAAAAAAACGCCATAGTATATTATGGTGTGAAAATGAAAAAAAAGCCGTCATAGTTAGTGAATCATAAAAATGTCATGATATAGTAAGGCGTAGAAATGTCAAAAAAGTCATACTATAGTACGGCAAAGAAGTAAGGCATAAAATTGTCAAAAAATATCATAGTGTAGTATGGCATAAAATTCTCAAAAAAACGGCGTAGTATAGTATGGCAAAAAAATCGAAAAAATGACAAAGTATAATAAAGCATAATACTATCAGAAAATGTCATAACTTGGGAAGGTATGAAGACGTAATGATATAATAAGGCCCTAAAAGCAAGAAAAACAACATAGTATAGTATGGTAAAAAATGTGAAAAAACAGTATAGTATAGTATGGCAAAAAAATCGAAAAAATTACAAAGTATAATAAAGCATAATACTATCAGAAAACGTCATAATTTGGGAAGGTATGAAGACGTAATGATATAATAAGGCCCTAAAAGCAAGAAAAACAACATAGTATAGTATGGCAAAAAATGTCAAAAAACGTCATAGTATAGTATGGCAAAAAATCGAAAAAATGACAAAGTATAATAAAGCATATAACCATCAGGAAGTGTCATAATTTGGGAAGGTATGAAGACGTAATGATATAATGAGGCCCTAATAGCAAGAAAAACAACATAGTATAGTATGGCAAAAAACGTGAAAAACGGCATAGTATAGTATGGCAAAAAAATCGAAAAAATGACAAAGTATAATAAAGCATAATACTATCAGAAAACGTCATAATTTGGGAAGGTATGAAGACGTAATGATATAATAAGGCCCTAAAAGCAAGAAAAACAACATAGTATAGTATGGCAAAAAACGTGAAAAAACGACATAGTATAGTATGGCAAAAAAATCGAAAAAATGACAAAGTATAATAAAGCATATAACCATCAGAAAGTGTCATAATTTGGGAAGGTATGAAGACGTAATGATATAATAAGGCCCTAGAAGCAAGAAAAACAACATAGTATAGTATGGCAAAAAACGTGAAAAAACGACATAGTATAGTATGGCAAAAAAATCGAAAAAATGACAAAGTATAATAAAGCATAATACTATCAGAAAACGTCATAA